GCCTTCAAAAGCTAGGAGCTTAAATTTGGATAAGCATCTGAAAGGTAGCTGCTTGCAGCACTTAGCCTTTCCTACAAGCAGTTAATTCTCATTAATTAATGAGAACTCTCTCTGCCCCTTCTGAAGGGCAGAGTGGAGTTAATATCCCTATTTAATAGATAGGGAAGCAGAACCAGAATCACTCGCCTCAGCTGAAGTCCCAATCTCCTCACCTCAATTTTGCAGACTGTAGCTTGAATTGATGCCCTGGAGCAGGGACAGACACCCCTCATGGTAAAGAGGGACCAGGCTAGGGCTGGGGTCTCTCTCACTGCTATCACATAGTGCCCTCCCAGTACTCTCAGGTTCACCACCAAATTACAGGGAATATAATCCAGTTTGCTCCTTCTGAACTTTCAGCTGCTCCATGGCCTTCACAGGGGCAGCATCAATAGACTAAGGCATTGAAATCATGGGGTTTTTAAGTAAATGGAACAGGTGTAAGTTGGATCTTATATCCAAGTCCTAAATGTGGATTTAACTTGAAAGCAGGCAAAAAGCTTAATTAAGTTGCTGTATTCAGACCGGGGAGCAGATTAACTGGCTCCATGGAGTCAACGGGACTTTCATTGCCGACTTCACTGGGATCAGGGTTTGACTCCAATTGAAAAGAGAAGCTTCTTCTATAAAACAGATGATCCCTTATGGAATCTGATCTAATACTGAAGGAATTCTGAATAGGTAAACAGGAATTCAGCTCATGGTGAACTTGTAGATTCAAATAACATTAAAGAAAGAGGTGGCAAAGGAAGCTGAAAACACATCACCATGCCATTACACAACTGGCCTTTAAGAAAATCAAGATCACGTGGAGAGCAAAACATGCTCCCAGAAGAGAGAAGCTCCAGTAAGTCCCATCCTCAACTGGCTGCCTTGTAAGCAAAGGGGCCTTCTGCTCAGGGATACTCAGATTCATAAACATTATACATGATTCCACTATCTACTAGGTTCTTTTTTTTCTTTTCCAATTACAAAAGTTAATAATGTCTGAAATTACGCTAATTGGAATGAGTACATTACCACAAAGAATCAAAAACATGCTCTATGCGAAGGCAAAAATTCATATGGTCCCTGCATTGATATGGCATGGGGAAAGCTTTAACACCTGGTGTTAAGTTCCTGAAAAACACAAGTGCCCTTTTTTTTGTTAAATGCTGGCTTTCCTGTACATTTTGAGAGAGACTGAGGCAAATGCCACCCTGCATATAGGAGTGAGCTCATGACAAAACCCCTAATTGCTTGTGCTGGGACAGAGTAACTGTGCACTCTGCAACTCACTCATTGCAATATCCACTATGAATGAGTTGCCATAAAAATGGTGCAGGTATGACTGGATTCCCTACTGCTTTCAGCAAATTGGAAATAAGCCACACAGCAGTGTTTTGGTTGATTTGTTGGTTCATATGAGGTTCTGAAAACAGCTTAAGTTTTCCAGCTATGATATAGCAGCCCAGCCAGGAGCCACTGCTATCAGGGTTGTAGTGGAAGATGAGGAAAACATGGAAATTGCTCTGGTAGGAAAGGTCTGATCCCATAAGATGACAGCACCCCAGCTCTGCTGGTACATCAGTAGGGCAAACACCTCCTGGATGGCCCAAGCACTTCCATGGCTGCTCTGGCTTCTGCCTGATGAAGGGCAACACAGAGGAAGAGCTAGCGCTCCTGTTTAAGTACAGACAAGTTGCTCACAGCTCAGAATAACTGGATACACATAGCCATTCTGGATTTTCAAAGAGTTAGGCTGCCTGTGGTGTTTTGAGCAGCATCAGCAGATGTACAGTAAGAATAATTACATCTACATTTTGAAGACAGAAAAACCTGTATTGGTTTAAGTCTTTAACTGATCCAGCTATTTATTATGATGCCTCTTTGGAAAACTGTATCCTATCCACCCCTCCTAAGATATGTATTTCACACCCTTAGCCCTCCTGAAAACAAGTTTTCCCCTCTTAAGGGTAAGCAAACAACAACAAAATGAAAATGAAAATGAAAAGTTGAAAGAATAAATTGTTTTCCTATGGAATTTTTCAGGCTAAGGTAATATTATTATTGAAATTCGTGGTTTAAACAAATACATGCTTGTAACTTTCAAATGAAAACTAAATACAAGAACTATTTTCTCCACATATTTCTGGTTTCCTAGAGTTAATTAAAGAGAGCATTCAACCATTTTGCCTTAGCTTATATCCCTCTCCCCCAAGGCACGGCTGCAGACAGAAGAGGAATTGTTCCAAATACCCATCAATCCCCAGAAGGCAAGGCCCAGACATATAATTAGACATCCTTGTTCCTTTCTATTTAGAACATCTTTTACATAAATCCTTGAGTCCTTACTTAACTTTTATTGAAAAGAAAATGCTTGACATTTTTCCCAGGTAACTACTGACCAGTACTGAATTAGGACTTCAGGCTGTGACACACGTACTCAACTAACACATCCATAAATATTAACAAAATGCTACTACTTGAAACAGATGTAGCAAAGCACCTTCCAGCATCTGCCCAAAATCATAGATCAACCAGTCCTTTCCATCTAATTGAGGACTCTCGTCTAAATAAAGCTGAACAACAACCTCTGACTGGCTAAAGGAGTCGGAGAAGGACTGGTCAAGGATAGGAAAAGCCCTTTTCAAGATGTAACAGAAGAAAACTGCCAAGGTTGTTCTAAATACAGAACACAAGCCCTTCCTAAAGCCATCATTATTAAACTGCCGTGCTTCCAAGGGGAAAATAAACCCAACAGTCGTTATTTTTGTTCTGCCGTAGTCATGCATGTTCATAGAAGTCTCCTCACCACTTATGTCATTATGCACCTGGAGGATGTAAGAGAGGTCATTTCTTGGAAGCTCAGAGCCAAAGCTCAGCTTTCTCCAGATCCATTGGAGGGGAACTGCCTGCCTCTCCCACAAACTACCACAGCTTGCCTTACTTTTTCAGGCCAGCTGACTGCCATCCTGGGGTGAACGCAAAAACCAAGCATTGCAAATCAGGACATGAGTGATCTGAGCGAAGTATGAGACCCAGGGACTTTGACACAGACTTACTCCAGAGAAATCATTCAATCCTTCTGCCTCAGTTTTCCTGCCTGGAAAAAAAGCAGCAACTATCGATTACCTACTTTGTAGGTCATATATTTGCAAAGCCCTCAGGGAGATGAAAAGCATTACACAAACTATATGCACACGTGTTAACACTGATTAATTTTCTCTGCACAAACATATCTTTTTTTCTTCTTCATTGCCCCTCCTCTCATTATTTCAGCAGTCTCATCTGGAGGAGGGCAAGGAACTGCTGACAGCTGAAGTATTTTCTGCAGTTATTCTTTTGAGATTCAGAAATGCAACCACTCAACACAACCCTACGTTCAGCTGACTGTTTCCTTAATAGCTTTGCGCTTTCATGTGTTTCCTCATTTTCTGTTACATGAATTTAAAGCAATCTGATTTCCAAGTTAATTTGAAATGACGCAAGATCCATTAGTTGAGGGTATTGTTTGCAAAATAACTCCAAGGGACAACTTTCACTCACTATACTTTCAGGTATGCTGTCAGCAAACAAAAGCAGGGCTAGTGATGTGAATAAAGTCAGCAGGATTTGACCCAAAAAAGCTTGTCAGTACATAGCAGAGCACAGACTTATAGCTTAGCTGCATAAGAAGCTTGTAGTAAATGCAACAGCTCTTACACAGCCCGAGTTTTACACCAATGAGCAGCCCTTTTGTGATAGTACTTATACAAATGATGATCAGAATATGCATACAGCTTTGCAAAAGACCGGCTATAAATATTTTTCTTAGGAATTTTGGCTCCACATTTTCTGAGGAATAAAATGTAAATGTTTTGTGGAATAAAACCACTGTTTCAGCTATCACAAAGTAATCTAGAGGACTTGTGCTTTGTCAACAGATCCACAATGACAGTTCCCATTAGAGAACAGATGGTGACTCTCTGCACCTGAGGGTAGAATTGGGCTTTCTGACTTGCAGCACCCAAGAATGACCAGTTATGCTCATGGCTGGAAGGAACTGCACTGGCACAGGTTGCCCAGTGAGGTAGTGGAGTCTCCCTTCTTGGAGACATTCAAAAGCTGTCTGTACACGGTCCCAGGCAACTGCCTGTAGCCTATCCTGCCTGAGCAAGGCAGTTGGACCAGATGACCTCCAGAGGTCCCTTCCAACTTCAGCCACCCTGCCAGTCTGATAAACAGGCAGTGGTTTAGTGCACCTTGGATGAATGACCTCTGACTGCCTCTGCAGCCTTTGGTCTGGATACTGTGGAGGTGTCGTAAGTAACACCTCAAAGTCATCCTTGAGTAACTGCAACTGGAAGCACCCAGACTGCTGAAGGAAATCCCATAGCAGAGGCTAAGAGACAGACATGTGGCTGTATTTTCCTCATCCTCTTCAACAATTGGAAAACCTCCACTCTTAGATGTGTATGCAGTCAATAGTTTACAAGCAGCAGACCATGCACAAATTCCACAACTGAAGCCAGCAGCCTTTTAAGACAGCAATAGTTAGTTACTTTTGGTTTTGCTGAACACCTAATGTAGTGAGAAAGCTGAGCAATGCCACAATAAAAATACAACACACCAACTTTTCAGCTGTTGTCCTTAAGGTAAAGACACTGGACAGCTGAAGTTGATAATACTACCAAAAAAAAACATCCTGGATGACAATCCTCAAGAAACAATGCTTCATCTGTGCATTGAGCCATTTCAAACACACCAAAAAAATCTGTGTTAAAGAAAAAAAAAGGAAACGATTTTGGGTAGCTTTGCTCCTGCCAAGCAATCTGCTCTCAACCAACTGTAAAATCTCTCATGCTATCATGCCAAAAATCAAAGGCAGAGAACACACTGATCAGCAATATAATGTTTGAAGTATTGTAAAAGGGAAAAAACAATCATTCCTAAAATGGGATTGTGGTCTCATTAGAAAGGAATTCAACTGCAGTAGTTACCTCGGCATGTAAAGGACTCGCTCTGCCACCACAAATCCCACCCTGAAGAAGAGGTTGCTGGCTGGGATGAATGGGAAAACCAGGAACAACAAGCCAACCAAAACTTCTTTGTGTTCCAGTTTCTGCAATAACACAAAATTAAACAAATATCAACTAAAAAAATCCAACTAAATTCACCACTAACTTTCTCCTTTGATAAGAATCTCAAAAGAAGCAAGTTAGATTAACATTTTCCACATTTTGCATTTAAAATATTTTTTTTTTCCATATTGACACAGTTTGTGCTTCCAATATGACCAGAAAGTGAAAAACACACTATCTACAGTGTATATTATTACCCTTGGTACCTTTTCCAAGGTCAGCTCTGGTGTATGCAGCTCTTTTGAGATGGCATAGGTAGTACTTAAAAATATACTCCATATTGGTAATAGGTAAGTATAGAATAGAGTGAATGCATACATTAGCACGTCTAGCACAGTGTGGCTGCATATAAATAAACAAATGTATATCACATACATACAGACTGCTGTGTTCAATCCTAAATGTTTAACTGAGAAAAAGCTGTTCAGTCGCATTTTGTGTACAGAAAACTAGCCCCAAATGGCACATTAATGCAGTCATTTTCTCCCTTTCAAGACAGTATCTAAACTTGAAATGATACTTTTGCACACAAGGTCTTTATAGTCATACAGAGTTGGAAAATTGAGACACAGTATATATTAAAACGAATGTCTTTTACTTGAGGCTTAGTTAATGCCCTTCACTTGAGCTCACTTTAATACTGACTCACTCCGAGGAGAAATCGAATTGCCACATGGAATTCAAAATAACTGTGATCTGCATGGCCAACACAAGCCTCTCAGGATGCCGTGATCAGCAGCAGCCACTGTTGCTGCCACAGAGAGACCAAATCCTCCCCGGGCAAGCTGAATTTCAGACTTAGCTCCAGCCCAAGAGGCTGAATCAGCTCACGCTTTCTGTTAATGATCTCAAAGAACGGCATCAGGCTAACAGAAGTGTGGCATTAGGTCTGTGAAATCTCCCAGGCAGACATCTGTGCTCCCTTGCCCTGCAAGAGGGCTCCCCCCCAGCTGCCACAGCGCCCATCCGCAGCCACGGGGAGAAGAGCTCCCCCACACCTGCAAACAGATGCAGCCAGAATCACTGAACGGCTGCAGCGCTTTCTAATTGTTGCAGGCAATTTCTCAACTTTGGAAAGCAAATTGACTCCTCTTTACTGGAGCGACCTGAATTTAGAAATGTTGCACATGATTTCTGAGTAGAGGAACAGAGCCTGATCAACCATGTGGGGCCAAGCAGTACAACCTGCCTTGCTCTTGCACAGCTACAGACTGCTGGCCTAGGCAGTGGCTGAAATTCAGAAGTCCCAGTATTAAAATATATTCATCCTATTCTGCGAGAAAGAGAATTAACATTTTCTATGGGTACCAAAATGGAGGCTCTGATGTCACTTTAGAGGGACTGGACCACAAGATCACAAAAAAGTGCACTGGCTTCCTCTGACTCGAAGAGGAAACACAACGCAGAGATGGGAGCAAAACTCACATCTCCAGACTTCTTTATCAAAATTTGCTTTAAATATCACCACAGTTACCTGTTTCTATCACCTGCTTTTTCAGTGTCTTGGAATCACAGTTACTAGTGCCTTCTTGCAGTCAAAACTGCACCTAAAATACCTTATTCCCAGAGCTGAAGCTGACACCAATCCATTAATCTGATGAGCTGACATACTCAGTAATGGTCATTTTGTCTTGTAATTACAATTAAAAAAAAAAAAAAATTAAAAATTATTTCTCAACTCTGAATGCAAATTATCAGCCCTATCTCAACTACAACTTCCCTCCCACCCAGCTCTGGACATATACTCCATTTCTCTCCTGTCATTTGATGCTCCTTTCCCACCTCGTCTGGCATAATTATGGTGCTCATTTGCTGCCACCACTCTACCACAGGTCTCTAACCACAAACACCCAGAGGCACAAGAAGGTGTGTTGGGCCAAAAGGAGTGCACTGCTAATAAATAAAATGTTCACTGTCTCTAAGATGTGGTCTTGCTTTCAAATGAACCAGCTATCAAGTATTTCTGCAGTTGTTCATTAAGTTAATAATTGGGAAAGCAACCTCTAGTTAACATCTCCAGGAAGAACACAGTGTTATTCAAGGCTGCAGCATTGGAGATGAGCAAAGGAAACTGAATGCTGGAGAAAGACAAATAAAACCTGTACATCAAACGGGAAAGAGGAAAATGTAGGAATTAGCTCAGATGGAGGAGGAAATGGTATTGTGCACCCTTTCTCCCTCCATAAGTCACAGCTTTAGACTAATCCCACTGAGGGTTGCCAGCTCAGTCCTCTGGGCAGGGCCCAAAGACAGGAACCCAGCACTCACAAACCAGCCTCATGGAGCAGAGCCCTCTGTGGTGCTACTTATTTCTGAAACAAAAAATATCTGGCAGCACCCTTTTAAAAGCATTTGGTTCAGACAGAGGCTTTTGTGAAGAGTTTATCCTCGAAGGCCATGCTTCAGCTCACTGTGCGTTATGCATGGCCCTGCCTGCATGCCAGCAGGTCAAACTCCTGCACTCGTACTACAGCCACTCCAGAGCTCAGTTTGATTTTTCTCTATCTAGCCATTATTTTTTCCAAAGTTTGTACTGGCAACTTGTCTATTTCATAGAATCAGAGAATGATTTGGGTTGGAAGTGATCTTAAAGATACCTTGGCCCTGTGGCTGGGTCCTGCCCAGGAGGAGAGGCTCGTCATCTGAAACTCATCTGTGGCCATTAACAAGATGGCCTGGATGCAGCCTCTGGTGCAAGCGATTCCTAAATCACTGACTGCTCATAGTTCAGAATTCGTACTGGAGGAAAAAGTTACCCTATTCATAGCCAGATCTTATTTCTCACTTCCCTAAACAGTTTCTACTGACCCACTAGATACTGAGCAAAATCAGCCTTTGCACTGACCCTTGGGCACATTCTTCCATCCCAGCCTTGCAAAGGCTGAAGACACATCTGTCCCTGACTTCTCAGCAAGGGCCAACATCTGCTCACCTAGGCAGCTTAGAGGAAACAAAAAAAGGAGAGAAACATAAATATGATGTATTGAAAGAATCGTGTGTATTACAGGTGAGAACAGACAGCTACAGCCTAACAGCACAAGTCTCATCCAACATCATATCCTCCTTTATCTTTTTGCCTACCAAAATTTACTTAGCACATTCCCTTTTAATCCCCCTTCCCCTGGAAGGGTTGATAGATCTATAAATGAGTACATAAGCAGGACAGAATAGATAAGAACATCAGGGACTGATACTGTAGGGCTGCAGGAAAGGAGGGCAGCAGAATCTTCCACCCAACACAAGCCATAGGAGATGCCTTCCATGTGTTTTTTTAAGTAAATAAAAATTTATTGTTTGTTACATTTTTCAGGGAGAGGAGGGAGAAAGAAATCTTGGACCATTTATTTGGTTTAACTACTCTGGTCATCTGAGTCTGCTTAAGAGATAGCTGAGCTAAAGGTGGCAGAACCTGCATCTTCCAGATGCCAAGAGCAGTAATAAAAGCTTTTGGAGAGTAGTACACAATTTTGTTTGTCTTCCCTTCACCCTAAAATGAAAAAGCTAAGACTAGAAATTATAAATCACTTCATTCCTTTTAGAGAAATACACTTCCTTTCCTCTTAAAGATACTGCTTTCTTTTGGAAATTAAAAAAAAATCTTCCCATCTGTCAGAGAAGACTCTGGGGAAAAAAAAAAAAAAGGCACCTTTGAATTAACCTTGGAATGATTCCTTTTGTTAAAGACAAGTCAACTTAAAATCAAAATAGCATTCCTTATAGCAGTTAGTTTGGGGGTTTGCAAATACATATCTACATCTAATTTCAGTTAGGCCTTCATTATATTGTAACAACAAACAAACAAACAACAACAAAACACACACAAAAAAAAAATTAACCAAACCAAAAACCAATAAAGAATTTTTTGACCAGCTACTTTTCATAGACTTATCAAAGAACAGAAAAACACTACTTGTTCTCCCAAAGGCAAGGCAAAAAATAGTCGCATTATCTCAAACAAAATAGCAAAGAATCACTCCAAGGCTAAAAACCATCAACACAGCAATAAATCTCAAAAATTGCTTCCTTGGCAATTAAGGAGAAAAGGAAGAAAGTCTTGAGTTTACAACTGAAAGAGATCTTCCCATATTACATATAAGACATACACCTGAGCCACAAATAAATATTTCCTGAAAGAAAACACAAATCTAAATCACAAGTCTTCTACAAGCACAGGAGGTATGTAGATCACTTCAACATATTTGTCATAAAATATGGTCTCAAAGAAACCCACTGCAAACTCCCTATTTTTCCCATTGAGAATCATCTGAGGTGCCACATCCATTGAGTCCCACATTGTGATGGTAGGACTTATGTTCACATCTCCTGGCACTTCCAAGGGCTAAGATGTTGAAAGTGGAGCCGTGAGGAAAACATTCCTCCCAGCTGGACAAAGTTGCACCTCAGGGAAGACAGCAGCTAGGCAAACAAGTTCAAGCAAATTCTGTTCTGCTCTACCTTGGAACATTTCCAAAGGTGTTTATATATGCTTGCCTGTTTGATGGGAAGGTGACAATCAAATGGGTTTAATTTCTTCCTCTAACAGTTTATTTCGAGAATGAGGCAAGTGTCACCTCTCCACCATTTAAAAGAAAAAGTTCCATGGAGTAAAGACTTCCTTCCTACCAAAACCATAGACCACCCTCTGCTAGCAAGCTCTGGATGGTCCACTGCAGCCAGTGAGATGTTATGCTTGGAACATCTGACTGCAAGCACAGAAAAGGTGGCGTCCAGGAAAGTTGGTAGTGCACGGTTATATAAAAGCAATGACTGCTATTACATTTCCAAATGCTTGCAGGCCTAGGAGGTAAGTGCATTATCCATCATAAGAGACACAGATTCAGAGAAGCTGTATGACTGTCTGCAAACCACAAAGGATGAAAATCCTTCAGTTTATTCCTAACATCCACACGTGCAAACCCTTAGTGCAGACTGCACATCAACTTAAGTCATGTATTCCTGTTGCACCAGTCACTCATGAAGC